GTGCGGTGACTGACTGCCACACATACTCTTCAGAACATTAGATTCATCCGCGCTGGAGCACAACCCACGCAAATAGATAATTCCGCACACAGCTGCAATTCCAGGTTTTCAAACAGAGATGGCGACAAAGAGGCAAAACTTATGGACTGCAGCTTTAATTCAGTAATTAATATACAAACAGTATAGTTTACAATCAAACAGTTAAGCATTTTACATTTAAACAAGTTTTTGAAACAGTTTACAATAGTAAAGTTCAGCTGTTGATTTGTAAAAAGAACATTTCAGTTTATATATTAAGTAGTTTATATTTGCACAACATGGTTTAAAAGAGAACAGTTTTGAAGTTTATATTTAAAAATGTTTTTGAAACCTTTCAGCTCTTTATATCTGAAACATTCAGTTTTCAGTTTAATAAATGTACATTGAGTCATTTGTTTATATTTTTATCAGTTTGCGTTTGCAGTGCATCAGTTCAGTATATCTGAATAGAACAGTTCAGCAGTTATATTATATATTTGAACATCACAGTTTACAGGGGAACAGTTCAGTAGTTTTCAGTGAATACTTGAGCACATGTGGCATTTCAGCAAATTGAACAGTGAGACTTCAGTGTTTTTTAATGGGTCATTTCAGTCATTGACAGTAAAATAGATAGAATCAACCCACCTCACAGAGGTGGAGGATGAATTAAATAACGGCCATGGTTCCTGGGAGTTAAAAACGTGTCTTGGTGTGTCAGTGTTACTGTTTTCCTCCTGCCACAAAGGTGCCACAGGGTACTGTTAGCCTAAAGAGCCGAGTGCTCCTAAACGGCTGTTGTCTTCTAATTGCTTTAATAGCACCTGGCCGGTAATCCCAGGTAATTATTGAGCTGAAATTAGACAGCTACTTCAAACATCTCTTAAAAGGAGCAAAAACTGCCTCAGGAACTTGCAGCTCTCTTATCATGCATGCTGGAAAAGTGAAATGGAAAAGTGGTTGTGGGTTTGTATTCGTGTGGAGCTTAACGTGTTCTTCCCCACCCCCATGTAGCATGTGAGCGTACGCAGGGAATACTTGTGTAGTCCATTCAGTTCATCACACTTAGTTTCTGCTCTGGGTGAATCACTGTAGTTGATCTTGGATTGAATATGAGACCCTTTAATAAGGGGAACAGGCTTTTTTATAATTAAATTATTAAAGCAAGACACTTGAATTCTAGTTCGAGGTCACTTAACAGAAAAGGAACAAAAGAGGAATGAAACAAAATGAGATGTTCTACATTAAATGTGAATGTACATGACTGTAAAAATACATTTCATAACATTATTCAACTATTGTCCTTCATTGTTGGGTGTTTACTGTTGTGGCAACATCTTGATCTTTGTTATTAGTCGGTTTGTGTGTGTGCATTTCTGTCTCTAGAGCAGAAAGGCTCTCGGAGCCCCAAGGGCCCCTCACTTGACTTTTCCCTCCTGCTCTTTCAAGACAACCTTAACCTTTCAAATTGTGCAGACAGACGTATAAACGCACAAATAACACACTTGCCCTCAGTGGCATTCGTTCGGATCTTAGCATTTAATTACGATAATCTAAGAGGCAAGCATTCGAAGAATTTAAAGGAAGTTACAGCTTTGGCGTCTAGCCAATCTACTCAAACCACACCTTTAGAATGTCACGCTTCCCTTTATAATATCATTGTTCTTTTTCTAGTTTTTGAGTTTTGGTCTGTGATTTACATAAGTCTGCTCTGGGCCCCTCACAAGCATTTTTTTTTTTTTTTTAGGTCTGTGCGTCCTTGAATCCTCCTGCCGTAGTAGATTCTGTCCAAAAGGGGGCGTTGTTAAACTGCCATACATGCGTGAAATGTTGGCCAGCTGATGTATAGCACTCTTATCAGGGGAAAGGCAGCATCTCTCTTCCTTTGCACACACAGATCCATACAGATACCTGTCCTATGATAATGTATTTCTGCAGGATGAGCACTCTTTTATAACATGTTAGATTTGTATTTAGATGTGGAATCTATCAGGGCTGCATTCATCAGATAGCTGCAAGTTTTGTCTCAGGCTATTTGATTATCGTTATTAAAAAGTTATTGTGAGGGGAAAAATGCGAGCGCATGCACCACAGAATATGGATTCTGAGCGATACCATATCCGTAACGCGGCGGCTCCGTTTTTAACTGGATTATGTCCGAAAGTGGCCAGACTCCTGGTGCGAAGGGGTTCTGCTGCTTTGTGTTCGTGGATTTGCGGGATTAGAATTCTCGTTCCTCCGTTTAGTTGGACTCTTAATCCAGACTGATACAGCTTCAAAGGCTGGTCTTTATTAATCATGTGTTTACATTATCCATGGTCATACACTCCTTACAGACCAAAGCTCTCATTAGAACGAGCATGGAAGTCTTTTGTGTGCATTTTTGTGTGTGTGTGTGTGTGTGTGTGTGTGTGTGTGTGTGTGTGTGTGTGTGTGTGTGTGTGTGTGTGTGTGTGTGTGTGTGTGTGTGTGTGTGTGTGTGTGTGTGTGTGTGTGTGTGTGTGTGTGTGTGTGTGTGTGTGTGTGTGTGTGTTTGTTCAAATTAGAAAGAGGGTTTCAACAGAGGCGACTTTTAACAAAGCTGAGCTTACAAAGCTAATTGGAGAGAGATGGGTTGGATCTGATGTTCTTGATTAGAATTTAAGGACTTTTGAAGAAAAGAGGGACAATAAGAAGGTTGTATGTGTGTGTGGGATAGAGAAAATTAGTGTGTGTTTGAAAAATGGTAAAAGCTTGGGCTATATGAGTTGTGTGTAATTTGGTGTACAGTTCATGTTTCTGTATAATTATGAGTTGTGTTTCTCTAATTCGTTTCTCTTTTCTGCATGCATTATGCTACACATTCCTTTTGTGTATAATGAAAATAAAAAGGAATTTCTTTCTTTCTTTCTTTCATTCTTGTTTAAGTATTTTAATATATTTAATACATTTTAGAACATTATTTCTATTAATATTTTGATTTGATAAATAGACTGTGAGATGTGTTGATCCAGATGTCTGTTCATTTCCAAGTCAAAGCTGACATGTCATTAATTTTGTAAATAATTTGAATGTCAATAGTACATATTCATCTCTCTTTTCTACACCCTTTCCTCTCTTTCTCCTTTCCTACAGCCCAGTCCAATTCCTAGTCCTGTTCTTGGTGGGAGGCCGAATGCAAGTCAGTCCCTTTTGGCCTGGTGCCGTGAGGTCACGAAAAACTACAGAGGCGTCAAAATCACCAACTTCACCACTTCCTGGAGGAATGGACTGGCATTCTGTGCCCTGTTACACAACTTCAGACATGACTTAATGTAAGCCATGCACAATTATGAAAATACACATTTATACATAAGCCTTAACACACAGGAAGTATTTCTGGAGGTGGTTCAGTCAGCAGTACCCATGTTAAGCACATGGGTGCTGACACAACTTACTCCACGTTAAAGTGATAGCTCACCCAAAAATAAAAATTGTCATATCGTCTTTTATGTTTCACATGGTGACATGGTGAAACCATTTCAATTAAATGGTTTTATACACTGCCAATTAAATGAATAATATATTTTTTAATCTTGGGTAAATTTCCTTTGACAAAACTACTTTTACCTGCCATGTGGAAAATTCACTTTGACATGCAGTAGCATTAAAAAAATCACTCTGCTTATGTGATCTCTCAATCGCAGTGACCAAAAAAAAAAAAGAAAAAAAAAGTCAGTTGTTAAAAAAAAAAAAATTTTTTGAATTAGCCTTATGACACTGGAGATTCACAGTTTATTTATTATTGATTGTTCATTTTATTGTTAAGCCATTTTCAGCTGTTGCCTTTGATCAAAATAATCATCAGATGACTCATTAACCTCTATATAATTAATAGCGACAGCCCTAAACTCTATGTATACACAACTCACTTAATTCACCTCTCTCTCTCCCCCTCTGTGAGAATCTCACTTTGTGTGGGGGGTCTAATATGGTTTCTGATGGAGAGGTTTTAATTCCTCTGTCTTATTTCTGAACATTTCTGTGTCTGGTCTCATCAGGAATGACTCAAATCCTCCTTAATTACTACACTTACAGCAGATTCATCACAGTGCTGACAGCGCCACGGCCAACCACCCTGTGGGTTTAGCATACGCTAAAGTACCAGGAATCTGGCCGCCATCTATTTAAGGAAGATATTGACTGATTTATTATCTTTGATATATTTACGAAACATTTGCATTGATTTAACATGTATCAAGACAACATTTTCACACAAGATAAGAGACATCCTGCTGTTTGCTTCATGAATTGTCTTATTTTGCATGATTGATCAATGACCATTATTCCAAAAAAAGTACATTTATTCCTCTGTTATGATTTTTCTGTTGATGTAACCAAGAATGCAGGCAGAAATATTAACTAATATTATTGCAATATACTTTTCACTTTTTCCACTTTTTCTCACAAATTCCATTGAATAAAATGTACAGTATTACCAGCTGAATATGCAGTTAATGTCCATTTTTAGATTAGCCCACTACTGTTTCACCTGCTGAAGAGAAAAGACCCCAGGCACACAGTGGGTAGGGTTATGGAGAATGAGAGACGAAACGTTTAATGTGTTGAGTGGTTGAGTAAAAGTGTATGTGTGTCTAATTTTGCTTGCACTCACACACACTATATTAGTTGTGTTGATTGCAGAGCTGTGAAATTGCATGTTACAGCCATTACATGAGACGCATATTTAAAGCTAACTCTCTCTCTCTCGCTGTTCTTTCCTCCCTCCTAGTGACTACAAGGCTCTCAATCCTCAAGATATTAAAGAAAACAACAAAAAGGTAAATGCTACACACTCTCTTCCACTCTTTGTTTGTTTGTGCATCAGTAATCCTCCTCATAGGTGATTTATTTTGTTATAACTCTGATTCACTCCCACCCAGCGTTCTCTAATTGCCACTTTCAGAATGCGATTCCCCCTGCCGACACTGATGGAAAGAGTGTGTGTGTTTGTGTGGATGGAGTAAGTCACCTGGGAGTCGTAAGATAGCATCATAATTCATAAACATGCTATAGATAAACTTTACAGGCTTCTCTACAGAGAGAGCAGGAAAGAGAGAATCAGAGTCAGAAAGAGCTTTATTGCCAAGTGTGTTCACACACACACAAGGAATTTGTCTTGGTGTTAGGAGCTTCCGGTACAGAAAATACAAACAAAGTGCAGACATACATAAAATGAGAGAATAGACAATAAATTATAAATAACAATAGTAATAAAAATATACAGAAAAAGGAAAAAGTCAATAGACAGAACTGTGAATGTGTATATGTGCTATTTACAGATGAAGGTTTAATGAGTTATTTACAGATGTGCAGTACTGAGGTGTGATGTGTTGTTCGGGTGGGATATGGCCTGGGGGAAAAACTTCTTGTGTCTGGCTGTTTTGGTGCTCAGTGCTCCGTGCCAGACAGAGGGCAACAGTTCAAAGAGAGAGTGGGCTGGGTGTGAGGGGTCCAGAGTGATTTTGTTAGCCCTTTTCCTCCCTCTGGAGATTTAAAGTTCTTGGAGGTTGGGTAAAGGGGCACCAATAATCCTCTCAGCAGTCCTGACTGTCCGTTGTAGTCATCCGATGTCTGTTTTGGTAGCTGAACCAAACCAAACAGTTATAGATGAACACAGGACAGACTCAATGATGGCCAAGTAGAACTGTTTCAGCAGCTCCTGTGGCAGGTTGAACTTCCTCAGCTGGCGGAGGAAATACAGCCTCTGCTGGGCCTTTTTCACAATAGAGTCAATGTGATTGTCCCACTTCAGGTCCTGAGAGAATGTTTACACACACAATGAATTGATTTTGGTGTCAGGAGCTTCCAGTACAGAAAGTACAAACATAGTGCAAGACATACATATAACTTTAGGTAATACAAATACTAATAATAAAGAGAATAGACAATATATTATAAATAATATAGTAATAAAATACAGAGAAAAAGAAAATATCAGTAGACAGAATTGTTAATGTGCATATGTGCTATTTACAGATGAAGCGTTTTGATAAGTTAAGTTTGATAAGTTATATACAGATGTACAGTCCTGAGGTGTGTTATGTGTTGTTCAGGTGGGATATGGCCTGGGGGGAAAACTGTTCTTGTGTCTGGCCGTTTTAGTGCTCAGTACTCTGTAGCGCCGGCCAGAAGGCAACAGTTCAAAGAGGGAGTGTGCTGGGTATGAGGGGTCCAGAGTGATTTTACCAGCCCTTTTCCTCACTCTGGAAGTGTAAAGTTCTTGAAGGGTGGGCAGGGGGCACCAATAATCCTCTCAGCAGTCCTGACTGTCTGTTGTAGTCTTCTGATGTCTGTTTTGGTAGCTGAACCAAACCAAACAGTTATAGATGAACACAGGACAGACTCAATGATGGCTGTGATGGCAGTCACAGTGCTGTTCATGATGGTGAGTGGGGAGAGTGCAGGGGGGTTCCTCCTGAAGTCCACTATCATCTTTAGTTTTGAGTGTTTAGTTCCAGGTTGTTAAGATTGCACCAGCCAGCCAGCTGCTCAACCTCCTGTCTGTAAGCAGACTCGTCTCCGTCCTTGATGAGGCCGATGACTGTAGTGTCGTCTGCGAACTTCAGGAGCTTGACAGAGGGATCTTTAGAGGTGCAGTCATTCGTGTAGAGAGAGAAGAGCAGTGGGGAGAGGACGCAACCCTGGGGGGCGCCAGTGCTGATCGTACAGGTGCTGGATGAGAATTTTCCCAGCCTCACTAGCTGCTGCCTGTCTGTCAGGAAGCTGGTGATCCACTGACAGATGGATTGCTGGATCCTCTTCAGTTTGCCTACAGAGCAAACAGGTCTGTGGATGATGCAGTCCCATGTTGACTGCATCATCCACAGACCTGTTTGCTCTGTAGGCAAACTGAAGAGGATCCAGCAAGGGTCTAGTGATGTCCTTCAGGTGGGCCAGGACCAGTCGCTCAAATGACTTCATGACCACAGACGTGAGAGCGACAGGTCTGTAGTCATTAAGTCCAGTGATTTGGGGTTTTTTGGGGACCAGAATGATGGTGGAGCATTTGAAGCAGCAGGGAACTTCACAGATCTGTGTGAAGATCTGTGTGAAGACGGGGGCCAGTTGGTCAGCACAGACTTTAAGACAGGCAGGTGAAACACCGTCTGGGCCTGAAGCTTTCTTAGATTTCTGCTTCCTGAAGACCCTGTTCACATCCTCTACACAGACCTTAAGCGCAGGTTGAATGGTGGGGGAGAGAGGGAGGGGGGTTGCAGGGGGCGTAGGTGAATGTGTGAAGTGCAGATCAGAGCGGGTGCTGGGTGTCAGTCTGGCCTTTTCAAATCGACAGTAAAACACATTCCGATCGTCAGCCAGTTGTTGATTCTCCACAGACTGTGGGGGTGGTGTCTTGTACAAGGTGATGTTTTTCAGCTGTTTGAGTTTCATTGTAAACCACGGTTTATCGTTATTGAATGATAAGAATGTCCGGGTGGGGATGCACATATCCTCACAGAAACTGATATATGAAGTTACAGTCTCTGTGAGCTCGTCCAGATCGATGGCAGCAGCTTCAAAACACTCCAATCAGTGAGGTCGAAATGGGCTTGTAAATCCCGCTTTGCTTCATTAGTCCATCTTTTAAAGTGAAGTGAAGTGACGTGACATGTGGCCAAGTATGGTGACCCATACTCGGAATTAGTGCTCTGCATTTACCCGCGGATTATCCACAGCGCCCGCGTATATAACCGCCATCCGCGCATCACTAGCGTACACATTCACAAGAATGAAAGAGGAAAACTCCCGGGGAGAATAGAACTGTTTACAGTTTATGAAGAGTGCCTCTAGATTAAGAGAGCACATCTTCTTCAGAGTTGTTACGTCTGAACACCAACCTTCATTTATGTAAAAACATAGTCCACCACCTCCCATTTTCCCCGTTAACTCCGCGGTGCGATCCGCTCTGAACAGCCGGTAGCCCAGCAGATGAAGCACGTTGTCCGGAATGGCTTCACTCAGCCAGGTTTCAGTGAAGCACAATGCAGCAGATTTTGAAATGTCCTTGTTGATGCGGATGAGAAGTAGAACAGTGATCCAATATATTACTGTCTCTGGTGGGACATGTAACGCGCTCTCTGTATTTTGGCAGTTCACGGGAGAGATTTGCTTTCTTACCGTTGTTCCATTTCAGTTATTTGTTCGGCCAGCTGTTGCATTGCGACGCTCACGCACGCGTCCGGAGGCACGTACACTAGTGATGCGCGGATGAGCTAAAACATCACCCAAATCCGCAGCTTCAAATAAATTATCCACCCGCCAACCGCCCGCACCTGTATTTTTGTCTGATTTAGATAACCGCACCGTGCGCTCACAGTCACATCCAAAGCGCGTACTGCGAGTACCAAATTGAGAAAGTACTGTCGGGTTTGTCTTAAGTTAATGTAAACAGTTAATAAAACGCATGGGTATCAGTATTGGATCCGTGAAATAGGTCTTGTGACAGCAGCCTAGCTGTGCCGTCTTTTATTAATGTTAATCAAACAACAAAACTTACTGCTCTTGACTAAATAATGTTTTGTTGAATAACTTTTAATGTTAATTTACAGTTTATTCAATTTCTGTAGCCTATTTAAAAAACGTTCATAATTTAGAAAATGTAGTTAATACTTGCATCATTAATGATTTATTTTATCGACCCGTGACCCACCCGCAAATAATCAGAATGCATTTTTTTATTACCCGACCCACCCGATCCGCGGATTATCCACAGCGCCCGCGTATATAACCGCCATCCGCGCATCACTAGCGTACACATTCACAAGAATGAAAGAGGAAAACTCCCGGGGAGAATAGAACTGTTTACAGTTTATGAAGAGTGCCTCTAGATTAAGAGAGCACATCTTCTTCAGAGTTGTTACGTCTGAACACCAACCTTCATTTATGTAAAAACATAGTCCACCACCTCCCATTTTCCCCGTTAACTCCGCGGTGCGATCCGCTCTGAACAGCCGGTAGCCCAGCAGATGAAGCACGTTGTCCGGAATGGCTTCACTCAGCCAGGTTTCAGTGAAGCACAATGCAGCAGATTTTGAAATGTCCTTGTTTGTGCGGGTGAGGAGAAGTTCATCCGTTTTGTTAGGAAGGGAACGGAGATTCACTAGATATATACTAGGGAGCACAGTTCGGAAGCCGCGTTCGCGGAGCTTAACCAGCGCGCCGGCGCATTTCCCTCTTTTCCCTCTAAACGCGCGTTTGACTAGGACCGCTGCCCCTCTGACCAAAACATCCAACAAAGCGTCTGAATAATCAAAAACCGGAAAAAATTGTCTGGTGTGTGTTGCCTTATGTCCAGTAGTTCGTCTCTGGTAAAACTGATCGTACGAGAATGACTAAACACAGAACAAACCAACAAAAACAGTAATAGAATGGGAGCGTTCCACACCACGGCAGCCATACGCGGCGCCATCTTAAAACAAAAAGGGACATCTTAAAAAAAAAAAAAAAGAGAGAGGAGAAAAAAGAGAAATCAAGGGATGTTAATCACACACTTAGAAGAAAATTCAGGACTAAGGAGGTCCAAACAGAAAACACACAAATTTGTAAACATCCTTGTGAAGATTTCCTATTAAAGGGATAGTTCACCCTAAAATGAAAATTCTGTCATTAATTACTCACCCTCATGTCGTTCCAAACCCGTAAGACCTTCGTTCATCTTCGGAACACAAATTAAGATATTTTTGATGCATTCAGAGCTCTCTGACCCTCCCATAGACAGCAAGGATCCTTACACGATCAAGGCTCATAAACATAGCCAGGTGATCGTTAAAATAATCCACGT